TTTTCGTAGCCCCGTCCCGAGAACGGTACCCGGACTAACTCTCGACTTAATTATTTTGTTCGTTTATATGTGTTTAGGTGCTCGTACGTGTGTTAATTGCTGAGCATGTGTCAATTGAGCTAATTCGTGCCATTAAATATGAACTTGAGTGAATATTGATATATATATTCCGTTTGGGTGTCAAAGTGATTGTCGTCACTTTGAAAAAAAAATTGTCGAACTGAGGTTAATGTAATATTTTATGTGGAAGTGTTTTGGATTATTGGACTTAGGAATGTCCTTAACGCAACGGTTTTGGCCTTGCGTCGTTTCGATATATATATTGAAAGATATGAATTTTTTAAAATCGTGCTGCAGTCCGTTATTGCTAAAATCATTATAAATCGTATATTACTCCAAAAATTCTGATTTTTGGATATGTTGTAAAGTTGCTGTTGTATTACTTGTGGTAAAATTTTGAGAATTTTATATGGCCTGTAGCCTTGTCAAAACTTAAAAACTATTTCTGGGCTGTTTCGTAATAAATTCTTATAAAATCCAGTTTTGGTCCGATTTGGCTAAATTGTGAATATGTTGCTGTTCTTTGGAATATCTTGCTTCTGTACAAATTTGAAGTTAAAAATCGGACTGTAACTATTTTAAAGGTTTTAATTTGATTTCTAGTCAGATTTTGAGTAAATTATTTAAAATAGTTAGGAGCATGTTTAAAGGTTTTCCTTTGGTGAAAATGTGTGTTTTTCAGCCCTCCAAATGCTGTAAAAATTTGAGTTGAAATATCCAAGTCTAACTCCCTTTATTAATTGATTGGTCGAGTCTAGGAGTCGTCCTAATGTTCCAACTCCACAACTTTCCACGAGTTCCTTAGTCGATGTCATTTGACTAAGTATAATTCTCGTTATCAGTGTAAGAGTCGAGATAGTTGCTTATGGGACTGTCTTGACTTATGTAGGTGTCTGAAGAGCAGTGTCTCAATCACCTACGACTTTCTGGTTATTTGCTTTGTCCACCGATACCATGTGGGTTTACTTATTCAAAACTTGCTATGCCATATATGTGTTTTCTTGTTGAGATGGTATGATTTTAGTGTGTATGTAAATCATGTAGCCTATCGGCGTGAGCCGGTGTCGGCTGTCGGTACGGTTGTCCCCGTCGAGTTACGGTACGGTTGCCCGTGCGAGGCAAGTCTCCATAAGACCTAATGAAAGGCCGTGTTCGTTACAGTGGCACGTACCCCCATGAGTTAGGGTAATGAATCCCCTATCCTTGGCTAATGAGAGATGTGTACACGTGGGTAATATGTTATGATGTGATGTGATTTGGAGACGTGACAAATGGTTGCTTTATGTTCATACTCTAACCATACCAACTGTTATTATTATATATGTGCATAGTGGTGAGCACGTTTTTCATCTTGTGCTCATCCCCACCTGCTCTTCACCGATGCAGGTTAAGCAGGAGTTGGGTGACGAGAAGAGGCGAGTGGGTCGGTCATATCATTATGCATTTTATGCTTCCGCAGTAATAAATAAAACTTTATGAATCTTTAGGTTGAGACTTGCTTAAACCTTTTTCCAAAACTTATGGCATGTTTGTTTTTGGGAAATTTGTGGAAAACTTGATTATTGGGTATGATGATGTGCTTTGATTATTCATGTTGAGTATTAAGTCTCGTATGATACGTTTTGGTTAATGAAAACTATTTGTGAAAATCAGGTAATGAATCCCCGCGGGCCCAGATAAGACTTTGGTTATGAAAATGTTGTTTAACACCCATTAAATTTAAAAAATGATCTCGAAAAATTTGTACTGATTTTTGGAAAGTCTGGAATTTTTGTAAAATCAAAGTGGGGTGTTACAGTTTACCACTGTTCGAAAACTGGCGGGTATGCTTGAGGAATGGCTTTATATATTGACTCGGATGCTGAAGGGAAAGAGCCACTGGGAGGTTCAAGATTGTCTTGGAAACAAACACCGGCGACTTCCAGCAATGCCTGGGCCTGTTAAGGCGGAATTTCGTGTTGTTGCTCTCAATGGAAAGCTTCTTGTCATTGCTAGATATTCCGTTGTAGAAGGGACTGGTTCTGTCTCGGCGGATGTTTACCAGTTTCATCCGTGTCTGTACAGGTTAACTCTATTGTTCCCATATTTTTGTTGTCCAAACAAATCAATTTTATTGCTTTTTTTTTTTAATTTGACTTTTGGTTCTGGAGTAACTCATGCTCGTGATTTGTTAAATAGTTGAGACATCCGAGAATTGTTGTTGAGTTCATGTCCTCAAAATTGGATTGTCAAATAATTTCATCTCTTTTTAGTTGCATTTGCTCCCTGTAGCCATCCATCTATCAAACTATATTTCAACACCACACGACAAATAAAACGTTTTGTATTATTTTTATTTCGCTTTTCTGTTTACGTTAATATTTTGTAAGTCAGTTGCTTGACTTTCCAAACCATACATGCACGTGTTTTTTGACCTCAGGTGGAGCAAACTAGTGAGCATGAATGTGGCACGCTATGACTTTGCGTGCGCTGAGGTGGACGGGCGGGTGTATGCAGACGGGGGGTGCGGAGCAAAAGGAGAGTCCTTCTCGTGTGCAGAGGTGTACGACCCAGATGCGAATGCATGGGCGCCTATCGAGGGACTTCGCAGGCCACGCTGGGGCTGCTTCGCGTATGGGTTCGAGGGGCGGGTGTACGTGATGGGTGGGTGGTCGAGTTTCACGATTGGGAATTCACGGTCAGTGGAGGTGTATAGCCCTTAGAGGGGTGTGTGGGTGCAGATGAAAAAGGGATGCGTCATGGTTACAGCTCATGCAGTGGTTGGGGACAGGCTGTGCTGCATGGAGTGGAAGAATGAGCGTCGTCTCGCGGTCTTCACACCCACAGATAATTCCTGGATGCTCGTGCCCGTCCCTTTGACGGGAAGCTCAAGCATTGGTTTCCGCTTCGAGATATTGGGTGGGAAGCTTCTGCTGTTCTCAGTGAAGGAAGACCCGGGGTATCGCACGCTCATGTACGACCCAGATGCGGGACCTGGGTCTGAATGGGGAACGTCTCAAATTAGGCCTTCGGGGGTTTGTCTCTTCTGTATCATAACCAAGAGTTGATTCTGATTGCACTCTTTTTATTTAGTTTCAATTTCTTTATGTGGACCATATTTTGTTTTTTATTTCAATCCAATCTCGCCCTGACTGAATAATGTGGAACATTGACCTGGCTTCATGAGTTGGAGCAGATTATGTACTAGTATGGACCCAATAAGACTCAATATAAGTGTGTAATGGACAATATACCTTTTATTTACTACATGATATTTTCTTCGGGGTGTTGGGATATATTTTTGGTATATTTCTCGTCATTTGTTCATGTAATGTGTTCGGTAGATTAAAGTAATGTCCAATCTGTCTGTATTGAAACGCAATTAACATGAGCGCCTGCAGTGGGTATACATGCCATTTTATTTTGTCGATTTTTTTTTAATTGTAATGCCCCGTTCGAATATTTTCGAGTAACTATTTTATTGGCATTATTATTTTTAATTGGATTAATTGCCGATATTATTTTATTGCTTTGATAATATATAAATTATTGTGTAAATTATAGCCGGCCGTATTCTTTTATTTTAAATTCCCGAA